CTCTCCCGTTGCTTTCGTTTATTTTGTTCTAGCAACTCTTTTTCGTTTTGTTTTCGTTTTATCCGCATTGAGGAGGGAAATTTGGCGGTTCCATGGGATGCTGCAAAAGTCGCAAATGCACAGCTGACTTCTCGTATACCCACGTGTTAGTATTGCTACGGCTTGTCATTGTACTATAACGATTAAATGTGAATTCATTGAAATTTTGAAGCCCTCCCAAGTAATCTGCGCATGTGTGTGCGTTTTTAGATAACTGCTATCTTCGACATCATCAATGCTGTGCGTGTGTGGGTGTGTGTGCGTGTGTATGTATGTGTGCGTGTATGTGTATGGATATGGATAATGTTTGTTTGGTTTCTAGGAAATAGAAACGACTCCTGCTTCTCTGGAGTCATAAATTATTTATCGACGGCTTGTTCTGGCCACAGTTTTTTTTCGCTTCTCCCACAACCGGTTTACCAAAAATCTATCAAAAATCAAAAAATATTCGTTGTTTTCACTGTAATTTTTATTCTGTCATTTATTTGAATCTCCGTTTTTTATTTCGATCGAATAAACTGTAACTAATTCTTGTCAAAAACTTCTCGAGGTGTTGCGGAGTGAACTTCCATCATAGAATGTTGCTGTCTGTGTATGACCATGCAAAAAGTTGTTTTGGTTATAATTATTGTTCGGGGAAATGGAAAGGCTGAAGGCCGATGGAACATCGTCTCCTTTTTTTTGCGCTGATGAGGAACGCCAAATTCGTTCGCGTCGGATGAAAAAATGCGAAAAGTAGTTATATTATTCAAAAGTTTTTTGAAGAATACAAATAGCTGGACAGATGCAAGAATTTGCTAGAAAAACAAGATTTAACGAGGGAAGCGGGGAGTGTAAATGTATAGCCAGAAAAGCGACGCATTGATTGTGTTAACGAGCGAATACGCTTTAAAAAAAAAAGTATTTCAAGCAGTTGGAGTGAAGTTGTGGAAAAAGACGCCCTTTTAAAAATGGATGTTTGATCATCGGGATGAGGTATTCCTGTACCAGAAGCTGAGTACATCGCTGAAGATTCCTGCATTTCCCCTGGTGAACGGTACTAAGGTCTGTTACAGTTATAACTGATTACTTAAAATTTAAATATTTTGAATACTTCGACCAGGTACAATTTACGGCGTAATTCTCCAGCTATGCAGCTGACGACTTTTCTGCTGCTTTCATCGACCCCATATAAACTGCTAGTTAGTCTGTTGGTGATTCTTATTTTCATCTCCTAAAGTAATCACCTATTTTACTACTCGGCTCATTGGCCTTGGTGAAAGTGCAATGTGATGGTTTTGCCTGCAGTTTTTTCGGTCTGGTCTCGCCTACTACCTACATATATTTCCAGCAAATGGCGGGTAGAAGGTTGTACTGATGACTTGCCTTTTCTCTTCGTATGCGCATCTCTGTCTGTGTTTACGGGCTAAAGGATGAAACAAAAACTGCTGTTTAGGCTGGTTCAACTTCGCAAGAAGTATTCTGGT